AAGATGAGACAGTAATTCATCTAATTTCATTGCATGAAGTTGGAAAACCTCTTAATCCATTGAAGTTGCCCATACTGTTTTGAAAATACCTGAAAGTTTGCATTGTTTCCTCAATTTCTGCCATAGTTACTGAAACCATGGGCAACATTTCTAGCTTTTCAGATTAGAACTGCTCTTCACGCCAACAGCAGCCTTTCCAAGACTATCACAGTGAGCTGTCTCAAACACCCAAAGCTGCTGCTTTAAGCTGTTTGGCCCAGATGACCATGGATATGCTAGCACATCTGCTGGCCCAATCCATCAGCCATCACAGCAGTAGTTCAGCAGAACGTGCCTCTACAGTGATGGTTAATCAGGAAAGTGTCGGTATGAAAAAAGCTGCACTTCATTATGAGACACACTGAAATGCTGAGGTATAAATGCCACGACTGGGTAAACAAAGCCCAATATTAAAACACGTGTGCAAGCAAAACTGGATCAACAGTTCTGCTATGATTGAAACTGTGCAGTCCCAGGTATTATTCTGATGATGATGGAGCATCTCTCAAATTGTATTCATTTCTCAAACCGCTATAGATAAAAAACCAGAGATACTATCTCTAGTCATAAAATACATCTATAATTATTTTGATAGTCCTAATTAGTTGCTGCTTTTTCAGGCTTAACTGAAGTCACAGCTTCTATACATTTAGTTATCTTCATGCAGTAACAATACAAAAGGTTTTAACATGACTCGGGCCTTCTCAGCAGTACTGGTAAAAGTATCCCAGACTTCTTAGCACTTGATGACCTCTGGGTGTCAGAGAAAACAAAAAATGCACACTACATACAGTCCTAGTCGACAACCAGCCTCTTTAAAAATACATACTTTTCTTTCATACAGGGAAACACTCTCTTGCCAAAGGAAGGCTTTCCTAGATGGAGGTAGGAAGGTCACCTGTCACAACCAATCTTGCTGCATCTATCTTTTGCAGAAGAGGCCACACAAACCTTGAGCATGCTTTGCAGTAACAAAGCCCTCCCACAAGTGCCCCAGCTAACACTCCAGCTCCCTCACAGGTATTTACAGATGTTCCTGGAACTCTATTTACCTACAAGAGGAACTAGTCCTCCAAAATGGCATGAGACAGCTTCATAATTTTTCCTTTAGCTTTATCAAACTTTACTATAGTAAGAAGAGTAAAATCTAAGTATAAGATGCTCAGCTACATATAATCAAATTTTATTTTTCAGCACTGACAGTTCCTCTATGCAACTGTTATTTATAACTGCTGATTTTTACTGTTGCTTCTTGACTGCTGCCTTCTTTGGAGCTAAAGAGGTTTCAATTTTTAACTGAAGACATTTACATAAACATATTTGGTCCTCATTTTCATATAGCAAAATATTTCAACTATGGCTAGTTATGTTAAACTCATCTAAGTTGAGAACTAAAAGTTATCCTTCTGTGAAGGCTGAACATATACATGTCCCTGCTGGAAAACGAACTCCGGGTATAGCTCCTCACATGCTGCCAGGGAAGAAAGTAAAGTCTCGCATCCTCTCATTACTCCAGCCATCCAAGCATTTAACTATATAAAAAGCTATCTGCATATTTCCCTAAGTAGTCAGTTTATCAGCTATGACTGACACCTTGAAGTGCTATTGTCTGTGAATGTTGTTCACAGACCCTACCATCCATGTAATCTCAATTCCACAACACTGCAGTGTGATGCTCAACAACACTTGCTACACAGTTTTGTATCAAAAATCTCACAGTAGCGATGAAAAAGGTGAAAGAAAACACTTTAAAGCTATGCTGCACAAGCCACTTTTCGAATTGTGCTCCCACTTGTGGAAGTTCACTCTCATTCAACTGAGTGAGGCAAATGAATTAAGATGTGTATGTACCTCAAAAGAGCAGAAGAAAGTTGAATTGACTAGCTTTTAAAAATTTACTTGAAGTACTGGGAAGGGAAAAAAAACCCCAGCAAACTACATTCAATTAATGGAGCCTAGAAATTTTTGCTGTAATTAAACAACAAATGGATGTAAATCTTTCTCTCTCCCTGTACTTCATGAAATCATAGAAAGACTTTGAGGTTGGAGCCTGAGGATGGTTAACTGTCACTTGCCTGGACAAACAGCCCTAGTGCAGGGACATCCTGAGGCAGAGCAGGTGAACAAGGTGAGCAGGGTCAATTTCTAGAGCTGAGGAAACTCCATTTGGCTGAGTCAACAGTGATGGAAGAGCAATAGCAGCTGATTTAAACACAACTCTCTACTCCACCCAGGCCACCTGCTTTCACCCTCTGTACGCTACCTGGGGTACAGTTGGTACCTCGGGTACTTGGGGTTGTCCTGGGGTGACTTTATGATACTGGTATCCCCAATCGTCTGGTTTATGTTATATATTAAGTTCTGCATCTTTAAGACTGGCTTTGAGAGCAAGAGAGGGGGAAGAAGAAGCTGCAGTTTGTGTTAAAGAAAAACATCACTCCCACACATCCCGCTCCTGGACTGTGGTGTCTGCAGCACGGACAGACAGCGGGACAGAGCTGCTCTCTGGCTTTTAGTTAGTTTTAGCTAGCTGAGGTAGAGGAGCTCCCTGGACCTTTGTTTTTTCCCTTTTTTCTTGGATCTGTGCAAACCTGCTCTGGGCTGAACACCCAGCCAAACCCCGGGAGCTCAGGCCTGTGGCCCACCGGGGCCTGGGCCTCGGCACTTTTCCAGCACCGAAAGGACCGATAAGAACCTGAGCAAGCCGAGCTACACCACATGAAAAGGACTTTTCTTCCTAGATTTGCTATCCCATTGAACAGCGAGAGGTTTTATTATTTAATATTATTCAATTTCTGTTAAATAAACAGCTTTTTCCACTTCTCTCCAAGGAATTTTTTTTTTTTTTTCCTTTCCCGGACCAGTTGCTGGGGAGGTATCATTTCCCTGGGAAACCCCCATTTGCCCAATTTGCCCTAAACTAGGACACCTGTGTTTCAAGCTTGTCCAGGAGCATCTTGTTCATATGTGCAGCTGCCCTGCATCTTTGCCTGCAATTTCCCTTGCAAGGAGACAAGCCTTGAACATCATCCAGCTCTCTTGGGGCCCTGCTGCCTCCAGGGCTCTATCCCCTGGTACTCTACCAAGAAGAGGCTGAAATCTGCTCTCCTGAACTCCAGGGTTGTGAGTTTGCTATGCAAACTTCTTGCTGCCCTAAGGATCTCAAACTCCACCATTTCACAGACCCTGTAGTCCAGAATGTCCCTGAACTTCACATTCCCCATCAGCAGGCCCTCCCTGTCAGAACGTAATCTACCATAGTACCTCTCCTCCTTGGCTCATCTATCCAACCTCTAGAGGAAAGTTAGCACCAAAGATTTCCAGGAAGTTCCTAATGCAAATGGTTTATGCCTCTCTGCGTTGCCCGTTCAACAGACACTTGTGGTTAAAGTCTCCCATGAGAATCAGGGTTTGGGAAAGCAAGGCCACTCCCATCTTTCTGTGAAGGGCCTCAGTTGCTTGGTCTTCCTGGTCAGACAATCTGTAGCAGATCCCCACTAAAAAGTCACCTGTCCCTTGCCTGCCTTGAATCCTGACCCACTAACTCTCAGTTGGCTTCATCCACCCAGAGGTGAGGCTCCCATGAACTCCTGCTGGTCATTGACACAGCGGACAACACCGCCTCCTCAGCTGCCTTGCCTGACCTTCCTAAGGAATCCTTAGCTCCTTTCCATTTGGGTTACAGGAATCAATCATCATTTCCATGATGCCAATGACTGCAGGCCTGCACCTCTCTCTGCTTCCTCCTGTTTATTTCCCCTGCTGTGTGTTAGCTTAAGAGGCATTTGAGTTGGGCCCCTATGAAGCTTTCTGGCTGGAGTATCTGGAATTCCTTGATGTCATAATTCAGGCTCTCTCCTGCTGACCTGCTTACCCCTCTCCAGGCACTTCCTGGTGACTGAAGAGCATGTTATCCCACACCTTATCACCATTAAATCTGATTTCATCCCCTTCCCCCATCATATCAAGTTTAATGCCCTATAAAATAAGCTCTATTAGCCCTCAACAAAGACCCTCCTTCCTCTTTTAGAGAGATGAATCCCATTCAAATTCATTATGTCCAGGACCATGGAGGCCAACCCATTATATGAAAGAAACCAAAATTGTGGCAGTGTGTCACCAGCCCCCGGTGTTAAGACTGAGTCCATCTGATTCTTTCAGAGTGTCTCTATCTCCACCCCTAAGTTACCTCTCCAACTATCCCTTGAAGTCTCTTTTGACACAGTCTTCGGACTGTGCATTGTGGCTTTATCACCACACATATGGAGGACCAGTAGCATGAGTCTGATGGCTAGGGCTAGGTAGCTTCCTGGTGACATCCACAATTCACACCCCAGCGAGACAGACTTCTCTGCTGGAGAAGGACCTTTGTCCTAACCCTCCCCACTGATTTTCCTACCACATCCAGAGCCTCACACTTATTGCAGAGAGGCACCTGGGAGGGTGAGGTGGACAAGAATGGCTTTTTCTTGTTGTGCCAAAGGATGACTTGCCTCCATTCACCCTTTCCTTCTGATCTACTGCCTGGCAGGGGCACATTACGCAACACTCTTGATAGGGATTTCTTTCTGGTCCTGTCTCAGGAAGGCCAGAGTGCAGTTCAACTGGTGTATCTCCACCTTGGAGTCCCTGATACTTCTTTATCTTTCTATCTCATCTCTTGGAAAACACACTAGGGCAATCACTTAGTTACACTGCATAGCAGCCTGCTAGACAGACAGCAAATTAATTTTCACTGAATGCATTTAATGACTCTCCTTTATTATATCAGCCTAAGTACTGAGTGGTTAATGCAAACTAATTCTAAAGTAACAGAACTGGTACGCAGCTCCAGTCTTACTTCCTTGTTGGTAACTCTTATCCTAACTGAAATTACTCAAAGGAGCTCAAAAGCTTTGCAGAAACCTTTCACTGAGATTGCTTACTCATTAAAGCAGTGGAAAATATGGCAAAAGACCAGCTTATGAGACTGTTTTCCCTTCAACTTTGTTTATTGATGTACTGAACATGAAAAAGTACAAAGAATCCAAACACAAAAGAAAACATGTACAACCTCTTAAATACCCAACAGAATATATTCTCTATTCCGACAAATGTGAATTAAGTCATACTATACAACTTCAAATAAATACCAGCCTTATATGTTACTTAGTGCTCTGATAAACACTGTAAAGTGAAGCCCAATTTACATGCCTTCTCATCAATGCCGTTAGTTGCTACAGTAGTATAGGAAAGAAGCATGTAGCTACTATTTCTCCCACATCGGAAAGTTTGTGATTTCTATACTATATACAACTTTTAATGCAGAGGATTAGCTTTAACAATCTAAATGCATCTAAGAATGAAGAAGTACTCAGGAAGCCAATTGACTTTTGAATAGCATTGAGTGGGTCAGCATGAAAATTTGCTTATTCACTTTAGCACGGCTTCACAGTATATGTACTGTACTATACTGAAAATTTTGTAACTACAATTGAAAAGAATAAGAACCAAAAACAACTGCAAAGATAGTGTACAACTATGGTATGCATAGAACATTGCTTTTTCTAAGGGGAAGCGTATGAGCATCTCAGTTTATACAAAAAGCAGGACGTAACTACATAGTTGTCAGTGCATCCTGGTGAAGGCATCAAACCTTCAGCTTTTTTTAAAAAAATTTAATTATAAGCTAGATGCTAATCAGAAAATATTCTGTATTTGTTTTCCTTAAATTTCTTCAATACATGGTAAAGACTTTTTCTATTTCCCCAAATAGTGATTTAAGCATCATACAAAGTTAAACTTCAATAGCATACAGGTATTTATGGTTTTCATATGAAAAATGTAAGGAAATTTGCTCAAAACATATGTTTATACTTGTTCTTTTACCACAAACATATTTATAAACAAAAATGTTGCATCACCATAAACAGTTGAAGCTAGACTATCTACAGACAAAAATAGCAACAGATCAGATGCACTGTAAATTCAAGTCCTCAGGACAAAAAAAAAGAAAAAAAGAAGAGAAAAAAAGAAGCAGACCTCAAGTAACAATGTTAATGCCATTTACAAAGAAAAAACTTATATAAAAACATTCAAAATTGAACATCACTTGGCATGTAACTTAAAAATAAACTATAATCAAAATTAGCTGAAAGGTTCATAACTTAAGGTCTTATTTACATTACACAAAGCTCAGGTGTTAGGCTTGAACATAACTTTCAAAATACCTCCTAACGTGTCCAACTCAGGCCACTTCTGCTGATTTGCTACTGCACAAACCATGCTCAATGTCTTTCGTAAGACAAAACAATTCTTCAAACCATAGCAAGTACATCACTAAACACCATGAGCTCTATCTGAAGGGAATTCTTTAGGAAGAACAGATTTTTTTTTCCCCCATATCTCAGTGTTTTAAGTTTTCTGCTTGCTCTTATATCCTCTTTTTTAAATTTTCATTTGTTTCAAAATCACAAATTAAAGTGAGCCACCTATCACTTAATAACCAGGATGATCAATGACTCCACTGATGATTACAAAAAATGAAACCAACAGTGCATCCCATTGACTTTACTTCTTAATACAAAGGTCTCAAAAGTAGTTCTACATCATAAATCTTTCTAAATTTTTTTCCCAACAATTGCAAATTTCCTGGTAAGTTTTAAAAGCTCACTAGGTGTCATACGAAGAGATTTCTCAAAGTATTCAAGTCAAAATATTTGTTCCAGGACCAGTAAAAAGTTTCTCCAAATTTTTTATTTTTTTATAAAAATAGATGCTTTTTTAAACCCACATCAAAGAGGCTCTTATCTCTTTGGCAAGGTACTGCTTTACGAAAAGTTCTCCAGTATTCTTACAATAAGCTTTTATAATGTGTTCCCATTCCCCAACCCAAATGAAGATGATGAAATAAATACTGCTTATAACTTTATAAATAAAATGTAAACTTCAGATACTTTTCTTAACAAAACAAAACAATAATGCATTACAATGTAAATTAAACACAAAGCAAATCAAGAAATGACTAAAGAAAATTTATAGTATTACACAAAGCCTCAGTATTTAATCATAGGTTAAAGGCAGTCATGTAAAAAGAAAAAAAACCGAAACTTCTTCCCTTAGCTGAAACATTTTAAAAGGTCCACCTTCTTCAAAGAAGGCAATAGAATACGCATTGTGACAGGTAAAAACCCTGTACCTCTTGTCAATACTCAAACACAAAAGATAGTTAAGAAGTTCTAATTCAAATATTAGCAATAAAAAAATCTCACATATTCTTAGGATGCTAAGTAGTCATTTTATCCCCATTTCCACGCTGGCATACAACAAAGGCATTTACGAATGCATAAAGCTTCTTGTAAATTGCCTTTGTTGTATAGTTTTCATGTATTAATGCACTGAGAGTAACTTGTTAGGCTTTGTGCGTTTTGTTTGTTTTGAAGGAGACCTGCAATACTCTGTCACCAAGGCGGTATCCATTCAGGCTGGCTATTGCCATAGCTGCCTCATCGTAGTTTGTCATAGTCACAAATCCAAAACCTTTGCACTTGTTGGTGTTAAAGTCACGGATGACCTTCACATTGGTTACTGCTCCGAAGGGTCCAAACATTTGCCAGAGGATACTCTCATCAGCATCAGGGGCCAAGTTGTACACAAAAATGCACCACCCAGTTCCTGCATGTCCAGGGATATTAATTCCGGCCAAACTGGTCATTCCATCAATGGTCATTGGAGGAAACCTACTAAAGAATGAGGGAAAACAAAATAGGATCATAAATAGCCGTTCACACAAAACCCCAGTGGAAGAAATGTCAAAATAAGAGAATGATACAGAGCTTTTCACAGAATGAACATGTTGCTCAGACTAGAAAGGTAAGATCAAAAATATTTTTTGCCCCCTAACTGTGCAAATACTATGTAAAAAATTATACACGAATACGGAGAACAGTGCTAGCTATGTCTGAAATGATGTAACAGAAAATCAAAAGGAAAGCATGCTATAAAACCAGTGAGAATTAGCAAGTCATTTGAAACAGGAGTTCCATGGAACTACTACCAAAGGCTTGTCTATTTCATGCAAAATGCATCAAACTGAACAATCTCAGCTGAAGTCTCAACATGCAAAAATCCAACATAAGTCTTACTGAAAAGTAAGAGTTTGCAAAATACTTCAAAAGTAATTTGGTTGTTATGAACCAACTAATCCTTTATTACCTCTTTACTCCATAAGCTATGTTGAGCAGATTGTCCAACCTGCAAAACATTTAGCAACATGTTCAGTCTTCAGACTTTTCCACCCTTTAAGATTAAGGAAACTTAGTATATTACTGTCACATCCATTACACTCTACAGAACCTCATGCAATGTTCAAGTATCACCACTAAAAGAGCCATGGCACCTTATTACACCTGATACTGAATACAAAACAGATATTCTTGTGTAGTAACCACGTTGTAAGTTCATTTCATAAAGTGCATCATGGCCACAAATTTAGCCTAAAATCACACACTGTTACCATAAGGTTATGGTCAGTGACCACATCAGTTAAGTTTTCCATATTACTAACTTGGCTGAGAAGAAAACTTTTATTGAGGCTTCTGACGTGTTTGCTGACATGACTACCAAGACAGGCAAAGTCAGGTGGACATGGAAGGAATACAGAAACGTTGCTTGCCACTCAAAGGAGAAAATTTGTGCGGTCCAAGCTCAACAGGAGCTGAAGCTTGCCAAAAATGGGAGGGACAGCAAAAGAGGTTTTTAAATATGTCTCAAAGAGTAGTCCAAAAATAACATTAGCCTGTTACAGAATGAGGATGATCACCCCACAAACAGGGACACAAACAAAACAGAGAAGTTTAATGCTTCCTTTGCCTCCATCTTTAATGTCGATGATGGGCTAAGAGGGTCCCCGTGTCCTCAGCTGTGAGAATGATGAACAACCCTGAACTTGTGTGGGCTGTCCTGCACCAAATGGATCCCTAAAAATTTATGGGACTTGATGGGATTCATCCAAGAGCATCGAAGAACTGGCCGATGCCTGAGGACTCATTCAAGATTTCAATGATTTTCTTTCAATGATTTCTGAGTTGAATGGAAGCTGGCTAACACCACCTCAATTTTCAGTAAGGGCAAGAAAGATGACCCTGGAAACTGCAGGCCTGTCAGTCTCACTTCAGGGCCTGGTAAAATTATGGAAATTATTCTGGGGAGTACTGAAAAACACAGTCACAGCCAGCATGGCTTCATGATAGTGAAATCCTGCTTGTCAAACTTAATTTCCTTTTATGATACAATAACTCACCCAGCTGATGTAATCTTTTTGGAATTCAGGAAAGCTTTTGATACTTTTGATGCCCCTCCAGGTATCCTTCTGGACAAAATGTACAGCTCACAGCTGGATAAACACATCATGGGATGGGTCAGCAGGGGCTCAGGCACAAAGAGTTACAGTGAATGGGAAGAGACCTGACTAGTCACTACTGGGATTCCACAGGACTTCATTTTAGGCTCAGTGCTCTTTAGCATCCTCATAAATTACTTGGATGCAGGACTTGAAGAATATATACTAAGTTTGCTGACAACAGTAAATTGGGACTCCCCTTACAGCAGAGAGACTGCAGAGAGACCTTGACAGAAGGTTGAGCAATCACCAACCACATGGCATTTAAAAAGGGAAAATGTCAGATTCTGCACCTGGGATGGGGCAACCCTAGATGTACAGACAGAACAGGGAATGAGACACTGAAAAGCATGGCAAGGGACCTGGGGGTCCTGGTTGAATTTGACCCTGAGCCAGCAGTGCCCTGTCAGGCAGGAGGGCCCCGGTGTCCTGGGGTGCATCAGGCCCAGCATCACAGCCGGGCAAGGGAGGGGATTGTCCTGCTCTGCTCTGAGCTGGGGCAGCCTCACCTCGAGTGCTGGGGGGCAGGTCTGGGTGCCACAATGTAAGAAATATAAAGCCAATTAGAGTGTTCAAAGGAGGGCCAAGAAAATGGTGAAGGGTCTGGAGGGGAAGCTGTACAAGGACCAGTTGAGGTCACCCAGCTTGTTTAGCTTAGAGTCTGACGGGTGGCTGGCCTCACACTCTACAGTTTCCTCATGAGGGGAAGAGGAGGGGCAGGCATTGATCTCTTCTCTCTGGTGACACTGACAGGACTTGAGGAGATGACCTGAAGCTGTGTCAGTGGAGGTTTAGGTTGGTTATCAGGAAAACGTTCTTCATGCAGAGGGTGGCTCGGCACTGGAACAGCATTCCTAGTGAAGCGGTCATGTCACCAAGCCTGCCAGGGGTCAGGAACTGCTTCAGCCAATGCTCTCAGGCACATAGTGTAACTTCTGGGGACTGTCCTGTGCAGGGTCAGGAACTGGACTTGATGATCCTTGTGGGTGCCTTCCAACCCAGGATATTCTATGACACTATGATTTTCCAGGATGAAGTATTTCTAGAATATATATACACACAAACATATATGCATGTATTATTTTCAAGATTTCTCAAGATGTGTATTTTCAAGATGTGCTTCTTGACTCTCCTTCCCCCAATTATAGAATGATACCACTGCTCTAAACCCCTTGAAATTACCTATCCGATATCCAAAATATGCAGTGCATACCACTCCTATTGCTCTTACTCCTGGAATCCCTTAAACTGCTTCTTTCAAAAAAAATGTTTACCCTGAAGAAGCTCTTGTTCTTTCTGGCAAATCCCAGATACATGAAAAGGAAGTCTTATTATAGATCCTTTTCAAGACTCAATAAAATATGAGCTTAGGTAAAAAAACCTACACTTGATTTTATTTTCTAGAAAGCACTGATTCTGCAGTGAGCTGCATTTGCAGAATACACTGACCAGAAACTACCAAACCCCTAAAAGGGCAGAAAAAAGGAAATTAAAAAATACTTGACTACTATCAGTAGACAGTATGGATGACTGAGGTCTACTGTCATTGACATCAAGGGTGGAGAGAAAGGTGAATAGTTCTAGAAACACCACCACTTATAGGTCCTTGTTACAAGGATAGTCAAATGAGGACTTAATACAGTAATGGTATATCACTCGTATGATTTTTCATCAGTTACCCTGAAGACTTGAAAATACTCTGGAAAGATTCTCAGGGACTTGCACTGGAAAATTTTTAAAGATGCTTTAAGTAATACATCTTATAGAAACAGCAGCAATTATAATAGAGCTGCTTTCGAAAGTCCAGCTCAAGTTTTCTCTTAATAAGAGTAAAAGGAAGCATTGTTTTTATCCCGTTGCTTTCATTATTAGAGTTTAAGCTGTTTTTAGGCTTCTGTCAGCTATTAGCAGAGATGGGGCAACTGCATCAGGTAAGCCTGTCTGAAATGTCAACAACTAAGACTTCTTGCATGTGTAACATATTAAAGATCTGAAGCACTGGTGCTACTTCAATATCAGTCAATATCAGATCTGGGATGATGAAACACTGCAAGGAAGAAAACCTAAAAGACAAGAAAAAATGATTTCTCTTTACAGTGTAAAGATTTCAAATTTGGTAAGACTGTCTTTTAGTGATGAAATATTAACCTGAAGGCCTTGACAAAAAAAAGTAAAAATCTGTCTGCAACCTCCGTTTACCTTTTGACCAATAATTTAAACATTTTCTTCATTCCCTATCAATGAAAGTGAGAGTGATTTTACTTGCCTATTTTCTACAGACTTGGTATTACTCGATGATTTTTACCATTAAACTTGTATGTGGGGGAAATCTTATGGTGCTTTTAAGCATAACTTTATGCTTATACTTTACACTTATGTATCTCAGAAAAAAACCAACAACTTCCCAGTGAAATGTAAATGGACATTCATAAAAATACAATTACATTTAAAGAAAAATGCATCTTCACCACTCAAAATTTAAGATACAAAGCCTAAAGTTGCAGGACAAGGGTAGTCTATTGAAGTTACCTAAAGTTACCTAAGACCTGCAAAGCTACAGGTCTTATAAAAAAAGAACCAAGCCCCACCCCCCCAAGAAAAAAAACAACCAACCAAAAAAACGCCAGAACATGCACACAAACCCCTCCACCACAAACAAATTAATACCCCAGAAAACCCCACTGCAAAACCAAAATACCTCTGAAAGCTGGGAGAATTTTTACAAATCATGATACCTGGAGTATCAGTAAAATACCAATGCTATCCCAGCCAACATCTGAGTGAAACTGAACAAAACAGTATCTTAGAACATGGGCAGTCAGAAGAACTCAAGGAGTCTGTGGGCCAAGACTTCCCAGCATATGTTGAATGTTGTCACACAACTCATGGTCTGATTTCATACAATGCACTCAACTCCATTCTGCAATTTCTGCCCCTACTCTTTCTATGGAATAATGGCAAATCTACTTCTATGCAATATTCAGAACACTGTTGCAAAGTAGCCCTTCTATTACCTAAGAAATGGTAAGAAGAGCCACAAAAAGCAAATGAAATTGTTTATCCCCTCTCCAACAGAACAGCTACTCCTCACACATGTAAGATGCAGCATGTAAGGCCAAAAAGCTGAAGAAAAGAAAATATGAGAAATTCTGAAAGAAGTGCAGTCCATGAACTCTTGAATATTTGTGTTATAAGCAAGCCTAGCCAATCCAGAGCTTTTGAAATCTGTTATTTTCTCTTTAAAGCAAGCTTTCAACTGGTTTTGTTTCTCAAAAAATAAAACAGAAATAGTCTTTGAGTGTATTACTATTTTACACAATCCAGTCACATTGTTCAGGGGCAGAGGGAGGATAGAAATAATCATTAACACCAAAAAAAAATCCAATGTACACATGGATGTAGGCAATAGTGTTCTCACCACCTGTTATTTTCAAGACAAATAGCAAAGGGAACTATATAGCAATCGTTTACAACATGATGGGAACACAAATCCCCAAAAAGCACATGCAGGAAATAAGTGAACAATCTTTATCATGAAAGGTTGTAACAAGTAAAGACAAAGTATGGCATGGAGAACACCGACAACTAGGCAGGGAAAGAACCTGAAAGCCAGAATGTGGAAGAGAAATGCAGGGGTAGATGAAGAGGAAGCTGGCTGTAGCATGCCACATGGCTAAGAAAAAACAGCTAAATCTCCTAGATCAATATTAACTGAATCAACTTGCACATTAATCAAGAATAACCTAGGAAATGAAAAATAATCTTTGAAAAAAATGAAAAATTTAGCGTCTGAGTGCAAGAAAGATGCCACCTTGGTTTAACTAAGTATGCATATTAGACACTCAAATGTTATCAGCAGGATGGCATGCATTTTTGGTTTTAGCTGTACTGTGGTGTAATAGCTCAAGTTGAACATTCACGTGTTTCCTTCCCACACAGAAGTCACAGCTAAGCAGGAAAGCACAAGTGTGGAGGCAAACAAACAGACCTGTGGGAACATGCAAGTTTCAGCAGAGTTGTGCACATTATCTGACTTACCTAAAACGTTGAGCCTGCTGAGCTAGAGGGGCGGGATACCTTCTGTTTGGAGAATGGTACAGCTGGGAAAGAATGGCCTGATTGGTTTTTTGGCTTGGATTGTTAGCAAACTTTACAGTGATGGGCTCTGTGGCACCTGGAGGTTTCTGGCCGTTCAAGCCCTTGATAGCTTCTTCTGCTTCAATTCGCTTGTCAAACCGGATAAACCCCACTCCCCGTGACACCCCTGCACAAGGTGAAAAAAGCATACAGCAATGAATTCACAGACTCCAGAATACTAGATGTTAACTTTTTATTTGTATGGCCAATTGCTATGCTGATGGTCAAATGCTGTGAATACGTGGTAACTTCGAGCTTAACAGACCTGAGCTTCTGCATAGAGTGAAAATTTTCTACTGTAATTTTGATTTTAGTTTTTAATTTAATTGATGTAAGACACATTTGTGTAAAAAGCTTTGAAGTTTGAGGGAAAACAGTGGAAACAAATATAGTGAGCCAAAGTGGAATTTGGAAACCAAGCAATTTTGTTGGATGGAGCTGAACCCAAACCAGCTGCACTGTAACCTCTGGTCAGCACATTCTACTCCGCAGCACCTAAATTCACAGAAATTCTGTACATAGCTTAGTTCTCTGCTCTCTAGAAGCAAAAAAAATTATTCTCCTGAAGTATCCCCTGAAGCTCTCTTTGGAGCAAATATGCTGAGAGGATGATGATGTGCAAATACTGTACTGCAATAATGGGAATTATGGCCATGTTTTAACAGTCAGTGGTTACCTCGAAGTAAAATATGTGGTTTTAGTGTAATCACCATACGTTACTTTTAAAGAAAAGCTTTCTTGCTATAGAAAAGCCAAAGGCAGCATGCAAAAGAATCCAAATGTGTTTATGGAAGGTCCTAGGAACATCACACATTAAAAATTCCATGTCTCTTAAACAAACACATTGAGCTGTGGATACTTGAACGAATTAACCTTAAAGCTACTAATAGGCAACATTAGTTAGATCGATGTTTTGTTGTAATATTTCTAGTGCCTTAGAGCCCCTTTACATTTTGGTTCATGAATAACCAGATGAGTTAGACACTTGTCCTCAATTGAGAAAGACATCAGTGATAAGAAAGGTATTCTGTTCATAAACAATGGTGATTTAAGCGATAAAAGTGACGATAAGAAAGTTTTAAAGAGGCAAATGTCACAGCTTCAACTTTGCATTTTTTACCTGTCAGTTTGTGTCACAACCTTATTATTCATACCATTCTGAGCCTACCTCTTCCAAGTTACTAAAAAGGAGGCAAGAAGGCTTAAGTCTTAACAACAATCTATATGACAGAAAGTACACTGCGAATAGCAGAATTCATGAATATGAACAGAATTATCATGCATATTAAAAGTTATAATTATATTTACTTTATGATCCATTTATTAAATTACATCTATTTCTGTGCATGAATATACAGGAACCTACAGTGAACAGCTATTTATTGCACAAAGACGAGGAATCTGTCCAGCAAATCTACTGCATCTACAAGTCAGTATCTGGCTTTCAGCTTTCCTTTCCAGGTCTCGCTACACTCTCAACTCAAACTACTAAAACACTCTCTAAGTATTAGGTGTCAATAATGTCATAATTATTGGTTATGATATTAATAGTAATACTGAAATTAACAATCAATAATAAATCTCAACTGAGATTTCTTTTAACTTAGTGGAAGTCAAAGGAGTACACACAAGTTCCTCTAAAGGTCAGCCAAGGCTCAAATGCTGGCATGTGCAAACTTTCCAAAGTAAGACAATTAAAAAACTTTATGACCTTATACAGTTGAAAGCTGTTTGCCACTGAACAGAACACGCAGCTTTGAAAAGGTACAACTATAAAAAAAAAAAAAAATCACATCCAGCTTATTCAAGGAATAATTAGGTAAGTAAATTACTTTCTCCATCTGTTCCCCTTAGTGTTCCAGAAGAGGGAGAACTTGGAGACTCCTGCTTCTTTGTATGCTGCTTTGTACACTCAATACTCCTGACATGTACCTGGCTTTTCTTTCAGTTGCTTATTTCTGGCAGAGGCCTCACAGCCGGTGATTCAGAAAACCATAAAGCTCCTCAAGATCAGCCATTTGAGAGAGCAAAAAAACACAACCATTACTGTCTGAGTCTGAAGAGTAACCATAAAGTGTCACTGACAACCATTACCTGATTCACACACATACTGTAATAGTGCAAATAACTTGCTACATCTTAGTACTTTAAGGCATGGATAAACACATTACTTACCTGCTCCTGAGGAACTCCAAGTTTGTATGTGCACAAATTTAATGAGTTAACCTAGAAAATAGTCTGAACAGCAACAGCAGGTCTGGGGATCCTGTAATCCTAGCCTCAGAGAACCAGCTGTGCATTTCTGCACAAAATTTTCTTTTTAGAAAAAGCAAGTTTAATAGCATTTTGTCAGGCACTGGGAGACTATTTTCATGCAGCAGCTTGGAAAGGAAGATTATGGCAGCTATAAATTTATTACAAGTCATCAAACAAGTTTCAAACCTGCACCTTCAGGGTGGAAATGACCCAATCTGGCTCAGCACTACAGAACCTATTTTTGTCCATGCATATTTATGAACAATTCCAGGAGAAAAATGCACTTTCTGGCCTACATACACCTTTTATACATTATAGAGACAAGACAACTGTACTGAAAGATGAAGTATTTCTTGAACTGTGAGTCCATGAAAGGCCATGTAAAACTGCCTACTTACCAGTGACTTGGTCAACCAGAATACGAGAAGTAATAATGCGTCCATATTGGGAAAAGAGCTGTTCCAGTTCTTTCTGGGTCATTGTTTTTGGAAGTCCACTAACATACAAATTTGCATCTCTGATAGAAGCTGAACTTGGTCGTGCATAAGAAACCTTAGGAAAAAAAAAAACCAAAACCCTAGAAAACAAACACTTTTAAACCAGCTGAAATAAGACAGTATTACTTGTTCTTGGACATTAAAACACCTCCAACAGCAGACAGAACAGTTAACTTTGCAAAGCTAATTCAGTGGGTTTTTTTCCTATTTTTTTTTTTTGGTTTTGGGATTTTTTTCTGGAAGCTGGCTTCCAAAACACAGAAGGAATGCAAACTTAGACCACACAGGAGAAGCTGACTACAAGGACTCATATATAAAAAGTACTTCCAAATAAATGAGAAAAAGTACACATTCCAACAAGCTTTGGTGAAGAACAGTTCTTAATATTAAAGTGATAAATTTAAGAAGTTCCATGAATTCTATACAAGGAATTAATATGTCACTAGGCCAAAGGCATAGAAGGACAGTGTGAAGCACTTCGAGGTTTCCAAGTGTTTTTCAAGTGCTCTGTCTTGTGTACATGTTGAACTTGCTACCAAATGACACAATCACAATCACTCATGACATCAAGATGAACTCTGCTACATCACTTTCACAGCCTAAGAATGAATGGCAGAAGCAGGAGTCCAATCTGTATTTTGCCTGTTCAGCAGTTTATCAATTTCTCCAAGAGGCCTTAAAAACAAATGTCATTTAGCAGTGAACTTCTTGGATCCTTTTGGACAAAAGTTTACCTGCTGCCTTGATGTGTCAGTCAAAATATTTTAGTATGATCGAGTAGATTCTTTGACCTTTAGACACATGCTACAAAACAACATGTTCGCTACTTCCTACTGATGTTTGCACAAGTGGTTTTACTACAAGACTGATTAGGACAGATAAGCACATCTGTGCTTATCAAACAGGCCAGAATACTTCATCTATGCTTTTCACCTATGTAAAAGTAAAAAAGATCCTCAAGTAGTCAGATTTATCTCCTTTCCTACCCTCCCCTTCCACGCACTGTTAGCCAATACTGGGCAACTGGAGCTTGATTTTGTCATTGTGTCTTTTTGCCTTAATTCTTTGTTACTTCTTTTAAAATCCTTCCTGTCTCATTTCCATGCAGATCAGCAGACACAAGACTGCTGGAGATTAAACAAGCAGTACCCTTAACACTGCTGTGTCCTTCAAGTTCCACACTGATGCTTTGTGCTGGTTGAGGAAGACTGATCTCAAAAACTTGTAGGTATCCAACATGGAACCTTCTATATCACACTGCCTTGCTCTTTCCACATGAGAGCAGCACGAGCTAAAGCCCTACGTTCAAAGTTACAGGAAATCAGAGAGTAAAGTTTGCCTGCACTCAGCCAAAGAAGCAACAAAGACAGCTATCCTTTTCTACCAGAAAGAATAAAACAACAGCTAAGGAATAAACAAACTTGCTCAACTTGCCCATTTGGCCCTAAGCTTCTGTAAGAAATAAATTTCCACACCTCACTTGGCAGGACTTTAAGGAGACCCAAGGCTAAGGAATGGAAAAAGACTGCCTGGGGAACAGGACTAGTCCCAGTAAAATCATGAATCACCAAACCCAAGCAGACACTGTCTTACAAGGGGAAATTCACACTGCAGGACACGTGCTGCCACATATAAAAACAAACTCACACAGAGTCTATCAGAAGAGAAGAAAACTGCAAAAAATATTTGCTAACTTACTGCAAGTTTACCTTATGCTACAGAACTGGTATCTGTCAAGATATAAAGCAGCTTCTGGAAAACTTTCTCATTTTCCTCTGGTGAGTATGAGTTCTTGCATGGTGACAGCTGGTCCAGTATTGCCCATGCCCTCACTGGTGAAAGACATTTCAAATAGTTTGACATAGCAGCCAAGGCCTATATTGAACGTTATTTCAAGAATGCAAGTAAATGGAAGCAATACTCTAGCCAGTATACACTACTCTTATAAATCCAATTTCACTGTCATTACCTTCAAGTGACTACTCTAACACATTGAATTTGGGCACATTAATGGCAGTAATAACACATATTAAAAAATCAGTTGTTCATCATCAATATCTGAATGCTGCATTTAATTATCTTGCTAAGCACCAGAACTACTGGTCAGGCAAGAAATCTGAAAGAAACATGTAACTTCAGAAGTATGATGTAATTTAAATCATCACCTCTAGAGAAAAACAAAGACACCACAAAATATTACTGGCATAACTAATTCCTATGAAAAGAACCTTGCCTAGAGTGTGTGATCTATGTGGACCATATCCCTCTTCATTTTTGATGTCAAGGTCCAGTCATTTCACTTGTGATACACATTTAAAGCAGAACTACTCCACACTTATCTCCCTACCTATATCCTGTCAGTTTGCTCTTTCAGTAATTACTTGCTGATAGTTCTGTATTTAGTCTCTTTAAACAACTTTTCTGTGCCAAGATTTCAATTCCACAGCTAATTCAACAGGTGAACATTACAGCTATGTGGTATCAAAACCACTGAACACAAGGCAAGTCAAGAGACAGCCTGAAAACCTGCAGTTTTAAATATTGAATGATGACACTCACTTTACAACACTTAACAGGCACTACTCTGGAGAAACCAATTTGAAATTCAGTTTTACTGAAAATTTCCACTGTGGTTCATAGGAAATACACTTGTTTCCAGAAATGCAAACATTACACCACTAAGTCTAGGTATTTTCACTGCTTTAATACTTAATTTCCTAAAATCAAGATGAAGTGATTCACAATTTTCAAGTGAAAACTGTTAAAGTTAGCAGGTTAAACATAGAAATTACCAAAAATAATAAAGATCCACAGCCCCTACAAGTGAGCATTTCAGTTTCTTACTATCTGCTACTACCTACAGACACTTCAGTACTGTGCTTCGACCTCTTTTACCTTCTCATTAGTAGAAACAAAGTATTTTTATTCTCTCAAAGAAATTGAGCATTTAATATAATTTCTTCCCAAACACATCAACTTAATGTATTCTTCCAAGTCTTCAAATTTTAAATCTTTAAATGCTAAAATAAGTCTTTCAGTAAATATTTACATTCACTAAGTTAAGTGCAATCTTTTTGCTTAGAACACTGCTTGCCCTTAAGAGTAGTGTCAGTTATTTTAAAATGCATGTTTTTATGGGAAAAAAACTCCAACAAAAAGAACTACCATCCAGTATGCCCAGATGAAAATGGGTTAAACCTACCTACAAAGCAGACAGATTTATATTGAGAAAAGGAATACATTAGGAACAAGTATGCCTCCTCGGGAAAAACAATAAAAACAAGGACATACTGATTTTTCTTACAGCTATGTTCTCAGAGGTCATTGTGCCAGCCAAGTGTTCTTAACCTGCACTTAAATTAGTATGAGATACTATGATTTAAGAACTCTTCTTAATTTGATTTCTAGTAAGAAGATGCTGCAGAACACCGCAGAGATGAGGTCCTAGCTGTCTCTAGCCAGTGACAGGTTGTTGCCTAAGAACAGGCAAGTACATTGCCATGTATTCATCAACTTTACTTCCTATCTCCTCTCAAATATTGCTCCACCCTAAACAAAACTTCAGTGCCACTTTTCCCAGTACACAAGACTACCTTGTTGAATATGTACATGCTGTGCTGAGTTCATGGTAGAAGCCCACAGTAACACATTTCTGTGCACGGAGCCAACTGGAAATCCAGACTTCCCTTTGTAAAGGTAACTTACACCCAAGCCCGTGTGGAACTAAAAAAGCTCAACACAGCTTCACTTACAAGTTCAGATTAAGCTTATAAATACAACCATATCCCATAAAGGTCCTGCTTTTACAGCCTGATGTACGATAGGGGATGCACTGAAAAACCAGACACTGAAGCAATAGCCTTTCAGCACTATCATCAGAAGAGGTTTCACTATTTTGGTTCACCCCTCAAAGTGTTCCATGCTCTGACAGCTACAACCCATGCTGGAGTCACAGGCTTAAAGGTGGGTCATGGGATTCACAACTGCTGCCGCTCAGCTGAGAGCACAAATGGACCAACTGCACAAATTTAGACCTCAGACTAGTCTTTATAGATCACAGAGAATGAGAACTAGAAATCTTCCTCAGGATATAGCCAATTAATGACAGCACACTGCTCCAAGAGGAAGACCTCATAAAATGCTGCTGTATGTAGCACCAAGGAAGACTAGAAACAGGCTTTAAGAAGCCTGTCGAAAGTGACTGACACCCAAAACACCACTTTGTGAACAGAAGCAAGTGTATGTATGTGCTAAGACAGGAACTAGATGGGAATCCTGCCACTGATGGTAAACAGAAGCCACTGGTTTTCCCAGAAGTGCTCAAGATACTGCAACAGTTTTAAATCAGGGTCACAAATGTCTGATGAAAGAAAAACAATAATCAAGTTCTCCGACATAAAACATGAGATGGGAATTATGCACTACAATCACAGAGAGCAGTTCTGTGGTTTTGCCCTTAAAAGGACCAATACAGAAGAGCACCTTAAAACTTGCCTTGTGTAACTAACACCATCTTGGCTAAAAATAAGAAATACTTAACTTAGAATTTAAGTACAAATAAAATACATGAAATGAAAGAAGATCAAGTCTCAAAACTTTTTGTTTCATACTTTTCACATTATTAAGAGTCTCAAAAGACCTTTCCTTCACATTCATGATTATGATCCCCACTCATGTCCAAACAATGAGAGCATAGGAGTTTCAGATGCACTAGGAATAAAACAAGGCAGCTACCTTTCTGGGAGGGCAGGAGTACACAGTATAATATTAAGCCCTCCACGTGAATAATACAAACAGGAATAGAATCTCAAAACTCACGACTCAATTATTCCCCTGAAGGAAATGAGTACATCTCAGGTTATACCTAAGGAGCTTCTACTACTGACAAAGACTCTGGCAAGCACAACACTTGAGCATCTCTTGCATTACTCCACAGGCACATCTAGAAATGCACAAAACACATCCATTGCAACTTACAGTTTACTGGAGTACCTTACAACCTTTCTGGAAAAACTCTTATTGCATGGATGAAAGACAGCAGAGTCAACATTTAAT